AAATATAAACTGAATTAATTAATAAATAAATTTACAATCATGAATTAGGTGGTGGGTGATAAATTTCTGTTTGCTGGGTATGTTTCAGAGAATAGTAATGGATTATCATATACTTCTTGACCCTTGCAGAAATCTTGTAGGTTATTTTTTAGTTATTTAAATATTTATGTCTATCTCACAAAATACAAATGGAAGCCTTAAAGTGGTCACCAAAAACAAACCCACTAAACAATTCAATAACATAAAGGAGTATGTGAGGTCTGCAATTTTTATAAACATTTTTTTCCTGGGAAATTGCAAATTTCTGTTATATATATCTCCTAATTCAAAGTATTGAAGTTGGAAGTAAGTGAGAGATCTATCTATCTATCTTAATTTTTTTCTATTAACTCTGTCTGGATTATCAGGTCATAGAATAGGTCACAGAAGACTTTTGGAGACAAGTTGTATTAATATACCAATAATATTTCTAATTAACATCTGAATCAGAAGAGGATATACGTATTCTACACTGAATGCAGTGATGGGTTGAATGTCAATAAATTGGGAATAAATCAACCAAATAAAATATTTGCTTGTTATGGGAACGGATGAATTTATGTGTTCTATCTACAACTGTGTTCTCTAAAACATAAACACAAAACGCCTTATTCCTAACATCCTCACTTGAAAGCTCAAATTACCATCAGGAATACCTATTTATTGCTTGAATAATTTTATTGCAAGCCTTTTGGAGATGTGATCGTTTAGGAAGTGATCATGTGTGTGGATGGGTGCCTTCAGGCCACTTTGACTCCTGATGACAGCCTGGACTTCTCTGACCAGGATTTTGGAATATTTGCCACTGCCTCCTTCCTAGGGCTAAAGAGAGCGACTGGTCCAAGGACACTCAGCTGACTTAGTGCCCAAGACAGGAATAGGACTCACAGATTCCTAGTTTCTAACCTGGTAACTTAACCACTACACCAAATTGGTTCTCATAGAATGTAATGTAGAAATAATACATTAAAGTAAAATAAGTGTTTTCCAGTACATGGCTGGCAGTCCAAGGACCATCTTCTAAAGCTTAGTGATAAATATTTGGAAGAACACAGCAAGAACACTCCTTTATATAGAGAGCACTTGGTCTTTTTTGTATCACATTTTTTATAATAAAAATTGATAATATACTGATGCTTTAAAATAGCTATATGGCCATTAACTAAAGTATTTTTCACACTATAAGATGCTCCAGACTATAAGTTGCACATTAGCTTTAGAGGAGGAAAGCAATGTGTATATATATATATTGTCGCTGCCGGGGAACTCTGGAGCCTTCGCTGCTGAGCAGCTGATCGGCCTCCCGGAATACAGGCGATCAGCTGTTCTAGGCAGCAGGGATTGCTGTCACCTATCGCCGCCCTCATTCACCACCACCAATCGGTGGTGGTGAATGGACAATACGCCGTCTAGAACAGCTGATTGGCCGCCGCCACGCCAACCCCTCTTCCCCACTTTTGGGGGGGAAAAGTGCATCTTATAGTGCAAAAAATATGGTATATCAATACATTTAAAAATATAAATATAAATATATATAATATATATATAAATATAAATATAATATAAATATCAGAAGGCATGGAGGAAATATTTAGTAAATAGTTATTTCCAAATATATAACTAGCAGTTAATAAATCATTTGTCTGACAAATCATTTTGAAACAAAATTTTCAGTGAAAAATGTAGTGAAAGGAAAATTCCTCCACAAATGCTATTTCTAAAAGCATTTATGGAGGGAAAAGTAGATATTTTTTAAATTTGTTCTAAGATGCACAACAGTACAGGTCAAGGTAAATTAACATAAAGAGTTTATGGAAACAGGACAGCTGTAAATTATTTATTCAAGACTCTTTAACTACAAGCAAAATTTAAAATAGAACATTATGTAATACTAGAAATATTTAAGCTGTAATGTCTAAAAACAGTGTACTGATTTTTCTAGAGAAGTGTCTATACAATAAGGTTCACTGTGCAGAACCCAGAATTGTGTAAAGAACCCCTAACCAATTTTTTCTTACAACCAACTCCAGTACTGAACTACCATTCTTCCAAAGTTAGGCAGACTGTATTTATATGAATTTGTGTGATTAGACTCTTATTTCTTATTTAGCAACTGGATTCCATTCCACTTCCAGGTTAAGCAAAACAGTCACTAAATGAAAATCATAGTAGTGTAGGTGTGACTGCGAATGTATTTATTATTTATTTCAGTTTTCCATACTCAAATTTCTTTTATCCTTTATGGAGTGGATATTTTTAACAATATTTTATACATTCTACTTCAAAGATCTCTTTAATTCTAACATATTTTTGCCTACAACACTAATAATTTCTTACATTAATTATTATATTATAGAGTCCTTTCAATCTTTAAATCTTTGCATGTTATTATGGCAATTTAAAGCTTTACAATATTTTTAAGCTTTGGTTTAATACTGTGTGCATATTTTTGTCCCTAAATAGTCCCTAAATAAAAACAAATAACATTAAATAGAAATTCAAGGTATGAAAAGTTGATTTAAGTACAAAATAAGAATATTGCATTACAAAAATTAAAAAACCCCAGACTATATCAAATTTTACACTTACATTACCTGTAATCATTAAATTAATTAGATATAAATCTTTTCAAAGATCCTTTTTTTTTACCGTTGGATCCTCTGGCATAGCTGGTTGTTGGCTGTGGATTGTCTGGGTGTTCCATTCTATTGAATAGGGAGGGTGATAGGGAGGGAAGTGGAGTTGAGGAAGGAGTAACTTTCTTTAAAAAACCCTCATTAAATTTGATTTGCCCGGTTTTTTTCTTTTGTCTTTATATATTTAACAATTGACACTTTAAGATTTCATGTATTTCCTGGTGTACCTTTCCAAAACATTCTACATTGGGATCCACACCAATTCTTCTTTCAATTAAATCTTTGTTTGAAAGCTCTCATTCAGTCTTGGCTATCATGCTGAAATTGAGATCATTTTTTTCACATCTTTCAGTATCAACCTCTAAAATCAAGAGATTTCATCAGTATAAAATTTTTCTTATTTATTTCAGCCATATTTTTGTTTTGGACAAATCCTTCAATTTTATTTACAAGACCAACATTTCTTCCCAAAAACCTTGCATTTATATCATGCTAATATCCTGCCATGCTAGCGTTATGATTTGGCATATGAAACAATTCATAAATCAATCTTCAAAGAGGACTTGTGTCATTCAAGCCTTCCAAGTAGATCAATAATAAACAGGCAGTGTGTGGTTTCTTATGTTTCCGGACACATGGGGGGTTACCTGATTTGTAGATCAAAAATAACTTCAGCTTGAACCTGGTAGCTTTTCTCCCCAATAGAAAGGATACTCTAGCCTCAAATGCTTTACATCCAGGCATTGCTCTGGCCTCTTTGCGTACGAAGGTCTAGTCTGGCATTTTTTTCCCCAGTATAACCTGGATTTGTCTACTTTGAATATTTGTTCAGGCCAATAGTTCCCTTCCACTATGGATGAACTTGATGTTCCTCCAGAAAATATTTGGCAGCTTCTTTGTCGGGGTTTGCATCTTAACCTTTTGTGTTGTAATGGTATGTGGGAAAAGACCTTGGGAATGAGGCAAAGAAGGCTTAAAGGAGATGGCGGGAGAGCTGTACTTTCAGACCTGAAAGATTCTGTTAATGCAGTTTTACCATAAAGTGGAATCAGTTTATTTGGTCATGTTTCCTCTTCTGGTCTACCTGTTAAGCTGACATGTATATTTGTTATGGTAATTAAATCTTTGCAGAAACTAAGCCAGCCATGATTGACTGTGAATGTTTCCATGCAATTCTCATCTGCTTGTTCCTTCAGTGTTCTGAAAATACTGCCTGCCTTAGCCTGAATGATAAGATGCCCTACTGGCATCCTCTTTTGTATCTGATTTTCAATTAAAAGTATATGGAGTTTTTTCATTTCCTGAATGAGGCCATTTTGCTGTCTTATATGGGTTATAACTGCTTTCATTCCTGATAAATCTTTTTATCAGCTCTCTGATCCTTTCCTTATCCTTCAAAATAGTGGAGACAGTGGAATGGGCCAGATCTTCTTCTCATGCTATAACAGTCACCCATAATCTTCATCTTTAAATTGAAACTATAATACAATTTAAATTATTAAATTGAACCTACAATCTTAATTTTCAATTTTGTGATCAATGGCTTTGCTTTGCTTTTTGACACTTTTTTCAGCTGAACATCTTAGTATGGGGTATTAATGGGCATAAATGAGTAGATAAGCAAAAATAACTGTAGGATATATGTGATACTAACTGCAAATAGCAAACAACTGACTGAAAAGGAGAGAAAGAGAGAAAGAAATTCTGCAAAGGTCATAAATGCACACAATGGGTGCAAAATTATTTTTTTAACCATCATATTTGTGAAGGTTGCTAATCAATTTAGTTGCTAAATGAAGAGTGGTTGTAATTTATTCATTCAAATCTGAAAAAAAAAAAAAACCCCACATTGTTTTAGATCTTGTAGTGCTTCACTTCCTTCCTGCTAAATTTTACCACAACCACTTAGGTGCTTTTAAACTAACACATACCGGTGATTAAAACTATCGTATTTTCATTATCAGTAGCAGAAGAAATGTTACTCTGTGTGTAGGCACCTTTCTATGTAACTGGACTGGGAATGTCTGCTCAGCCTGTCTCCTGCTACAATTCTTAAGATTCCTTATCCACTTCTGCTAGACTATGAGATACCTTTATATCTGAAGTTTACTGAGAAATAAAACAGAATCACAGTATTGGCATATAAAAACTTATGATTCAAAAAAGTGCTTTTTGGTAGTTATAAATAACTCATAAAACTTAATTCAGGATTCTCTCATAATTTTATTTCAATTAAGAAAGGAAATTGTCAGGCACATGGGCCGTACATGCATATTAGCTTTCTAAATCTTAACTTGTATTGAACTGATGTAACTTGAAACTTACCTGCCATGATGGAGGATAAGTAGGTGATGAAGCAATGTTTACAACAGGAGGATCTAATATTTGCATATTTGTTACATCAGAGTTGGGATTTATCTGTTGAAAAATAGATTTGCTATTATTGTTATTAAAAAATAAATATTGAATGCTTAAAATATACATGAGGAAAGAAATCATACTCATAAGAGGTTCCTTACTTTTTTCTTACAGTATGGATTATATCAAATTTATTTTGCTTCTTCCTCAAGAGTAAGGGTGAAATTTGTTTAATGTCATGTTCTCTGATGAGACAATTGGCTATCTCATTATATTTGGATTTCAATTATCTTTATAGCTTCTGGGAATTCTCATTTAAAACATATGAAGCATTAGTTTAACTACTCCTTTCTTAGATAAATTGATAATTTAAAAAACTGCCTAACAGTGGTTAAAGCAGATGTCTATAATGTCAATGTAATACAAAGCCTTGTTGCATTGCATTGACAAAACCCTAAAACAAGAGTTGTTCTCTAAGAGAACCTAGAAAATGGTTCAGGAATTCCGTAAAAAGAAGTGGGAGACTTTGTTCTGTATGTAGAGCAGAAGTAAAATTTTATGAAGCATGTCCAAATTATTAATATAAAAAATATTGCCCCTACTACCTTCATAAAAGTATAATGAAGAATGTTAAAATTCACTAAAATACATCTAAAAAACAAACGAATTCAAAATAGTCGACACCATGACATTAAAAATCTCCTACAGCTATATGGACACATTCAACCAGAGTTTCAATTGGGAAACTGACCATCCTTAACCAAGCTAAATTCAAAGAATACTAGAGAATTCCTAGAGGCCTATACTGGTAATTCAGATGAATCAGCCATCACTGAATATAACAAACCATATTTCTGCTCCATTGAAAAGAGACAATAAAAAAGCTAAGAAGGAAACAAAAAAAACCAAAAAACATCCTCTCCAGCAACCAACACCCAGATAAACAGGGATTAAGTTAAAAGTAGAGACTTCCTTTTTCAAGTTGTGTCTGACTTTATCTTATTTCCATTGCTTAGTCAAGGGAGCCAGTGTTGCCAGAAGACATTTCCATGGTATGTAGCCAGCATGATTATACGCCATATGATTATATGCCAAGGCGCATGAAATGCTGTTACTTTCCCACCTATATATCACATTTGTATACTTTTGAACTGCTAGGTGGGCAGGAGCTGGGGCAAGTAATGGGAGCTCACTCAATCGTGCAGCGCTCAGGTCTCGAACCTGGGCTGTCACGTCTCCAGCTGACAAGCTCAGCATCTTTAACCACTGAGCCATCACACTCCTAAACAAACAGGGATTAACACCAGACAAACGATCAGGCAAAATACAATACCCAAATCAAGGAACTACACATGGCGAAACCCATCCCCCATCAAAATTGGCAAGGACAAGCTACTGTATATAAACAGGGAGCAAACCTCACATTCACTCACACTGATGATATTATCTACCTGGGTAATGAAATATCTGCAAGCAAAATCAAGCTTAAAGAGCACTAAAGACTCCACATTAAAAATATCCTTTGTACATTAAAGCTTCTAAAATTAAAATTACCTTGAGAATGATGGATGGCCTATAAATTTTACAAACAAATAAATAAAATCGGATTTAAGTATGTACTTGGATGTAAATATGATTCTCTAAGGGAGGTGGGAAAATTACTTAAAAGGGTAATTTCTATTGTGGTAATTTTTTTTTTTTACTTTGATGCATGGAACTATAGCTGAGGCTTGATAAGTAGATCCCAGCAAGCAATGAAACAGCAATGGTTTCATGAAGAATTTAAAACAAAACAATATAAGTTCAATTGGCATAGAAACTACTGTAAGTGGAATCTATTGTAATAGCTGCTAAATGTCTGCTAAATAGATTAAAATAGGCTCTCACCTTCCTGACAGAAAGAACACAGATATTTTTTGTATGAGCTGAAGTTTCCAATCTGTGTATCTTTTAATAGTTCCTATTCTAAAATACTTCAACTTTCTTTTCTGTGTGATCATATCGAATATAATTATATAATGGGAGCATTATATAAATTATATATGAAAATTCCTATAAAATGTTCTTTATCGCCACATTTATTGTTCTTATATATTCTTCATATATTTAAAAATGCACTGATCCTTAAAAAATCCTGTTATATATTAGGATGGTTCCCATTCAACATAATATTCTTAAACATTAGTGCCATCTAGTGTGTTAAAGCTATAATAAGCTAATAACATAAAATACTATGTAAAAATTGTACATGTACATTATATATGGCCATGATGGCGAACCTATGGCACGCGTGCCAGAGGTGGCACACAGCGCCCGCTCTGATGGCACGTGAGCCATTGCCCCAGTTCAGTTCTGCTGCGTATGCGCGTGTGCCTCCCGCCAGCCAGCTGGTGTTTGGGTCTCTGCTGCGCATGCGGGGAGGCCACATGGCATGCCCGGGAGGGCGGGGCACATGCAAGGGGCCGTGCACGCATGCGTGGGGTGGATGCATTGGGGCACATGCTCATTGCATTTTTGAGGTTTGGGCATGTGCATGTGCATTCACGTGCACGCTATGAGCCTCAGTCTGGAAAAGGTTAGCCATCACTGATATATGGGATCCATATTAACATTATATGAACTATATTGTCTGTTACTCGATAGTTAAGTCTCTATTCTATTCTCAAGCTTTCTTAAACAGGGTGAGAACTGTCAATGTGGCTATGCTGAGATATGGCCTTATAGAGTGCACACTAAGTGTTTCAAGGTCAAGGGCATAATATCCCTCTCAAAGAGATATTTGGCACCTTTCAAATCCAGTGGCACATGTCATGCCTGATCATTGCAGGACCTGGAGGGCCATGAGTTTAATTCACAGGTGGCAGAAATCATGGTATAGAAGACTCTGTCTCAAATGAATTGCAAATGGACACTTGATCTTGCTCAGACAACATTGCTCTGTCAAATTGTCATTCAAACAATAGCAGTTATAAGCAACTTTATCTACAAGGAAATTCACAAAATCATTTTGTCCCTCCCCATAAAAGGGCCATGTCACTCTGAACAGAATCATGGATAGGAATGCACACACACATTAAACACAAATAAATGTTTACTGCTTTTATTGTCACTGAATATGTTCAAACATGAACTCTCAATAGAATCTAGTTGTCCTTTTTTTCTGCCATTCTTATTGGCCTGCCTATTTAGAATATGGTTGCCTGTGTATTAATGGTAATTGGGAAGAAGTGTGAGAAGGGAAAGGTTTGAGGCTTTAAAGTCAGAGTTGTTCGCATTATTCACCACCCTATCATCTCAATAAAAAACTACTGAACTTTAAAATTGGCAGCCTACCCTCCACCCACAACATAGCTCTATAACTGTGCTCTACAACCAGGGAAAGTCCTTTAAAAAAAAGATGTAGAGAAAAGAAGCTAACTACGTAATGAGAAATGAAACATTCTCTGAGTATAAAATGCCCAGTTTTAGAAGAAAGAATAAAAATTGTGGATGGTAGAGAAGAAAATGAATGAAAAACTCTGGAAAGACATGATCAAAAGTTCAGTCAGTATTACTAAAGAAATATCTATGCTGAAAAATTGCAGATCCCAGTTGTAGCCAATAATTTGTTACTAAAAGCCGTAATAGTTTACCTCAACTGCCTGTGATTTTGCATCATGGCGATGAGGTGACTGAGGGTAAATATCCAGGAGGTGAGGTGGATCGTCACTATGTAATCTTTGTACATGTCTTTCAAGAACTTTCTTATATTCAGAGGAATCAAAATTTGTCTTCCAGAGCAGCACCTGTAGGAAATGTACTAATGTTTCATGAATGCAGCCAAATGTTTCATTTGCTAATTAAGCATTTAACTGAATATCCAATTTATAGTAAAGCAATAAGACATACAGTGTAATATAATTAAAGGGAAAATTTGCTGAGAAAAAAAATCAGACAATAATTTTATAATTAACACATACTTGAAAAATATATTCTTCTAAATTTGATAATAAAATATTTATTTAGTGAACTTATTAATAAGAATGATGTTTAGTTAAGAATTTAACTATTTTAACAAACCTGTGTATCTGTGCCACCAGAAGCGAAGGTCTCTCCATCTTTTGAAAAAGCTACAGAAAGCACAGGACCCTAATTTTAAAAAAGGACAGAGGGGAACAAGATAAATATATTTTTTAAAGGCATAATGTTTTTTGTTAGTACTCTCTCCCTTCTTTTTATTTAATCATTCCTAAATTGCTAATAAACAAATAATATATTATTAATCATTAAATATATTTAGATGATGAAATGGACATTAATTGGCATATTATGCATGCAATATTTGTCCAAATGATATTTTAACTGATTATGTGCCATTAAATTATTTTTTACTTCTAGAAACCACGTATAGAGTTGGGTCTTTGTATAACGTGTCCAAATTAGGATAATTTGATATAGCTACAGTATAATTGACATAGGTTTTCATTACAGTAACGTTATCATTCCATGCATAGGAATTATTGTTTATGACGAAAATAACAAGGTCTTAAAAGCAAGTCCCAAAATAAAGACTGTACCTCATGCCCATGAAGTGTGTATAAGAGTCTTCCTTCTATAAGATCCATAATCTTAAGAGTTCCATCATTAGATGCTGTTATGAGAAAGTTGCCAGAAGGATGGAAAGATGTGTAATTAACACTTCCCCTGTGAACTGATTTAAATAAAAGTAGTTCAGATATTGATACAAAGAAGAAAACTTCCAAAACAAAAAGAACACATAACATCGCTGACCAACAACACAAACCTAACTATATTACTGAGAAGAATAACAATAAAGTTTATCACCAGGATATGGTGGCCAGGGTTCTATCCTATGATTGATATTTTTAAAATGCAATTCTAATAAGTACCATTTTTTTCAGATTTTAACTAGCTTTTACATCAATGTTATCCTTTACAGGTGTGCAAAATGCTTTTGAGGTTGAAATGTTCCATAACTAGTTACACTCACACCAAGGGCTGTGTAACTGATTGCATTTATAAAGGGGCATTCTGAATTCCACTTTCCCATCCGTATTATCTATGAGTTCCTACAATAGCTTATTTTCATTGCTATTCTTTTGTACTGCTCTGTGACATTTTCCTTACATTTAAATAAGCAGACTTAAATACTAGTTTTCTTATTCTTCTTCATTATTCTTCTTCACTAGTCAGTTATTTTAATATTTACATTTCAGATCATTTGATAGATTTTGATTTGGCAAAAGACAAATTCATTCCATTATACACTGCTGCAGAATTCCAAGGAAAAAATGGAATTATCAACATCCCATCAACATTTAAGAACAGAGGTACAAACCTGAGCCCCAGAATGCACACCAATCTGAACACATAGCTATTTAAGTAATCCTCTGTTTCTGCCTAGCAGAACTTTAGAATCCAGGGTTTAAGGAATTAGGCTTGGAATATTCACTGTTACAAAATCCTTGCACAATTAATCAGTCCCCAGACACATGTCCCCAGTGGCATACACTTATACTTTTTTTTCCTGCTAAGCATTTAAGCCACTTCCTAGCCCAAGACAGGTTATAAAAATTAAGAATTCACTTAATACTTATTAAAAAACAACTAGAGAAAATGGAAAAACAAAGTGAGAAATGTAGAAGGCTGTCAATGAAACTTCAAAGTTTGGAAAAGAAAAGTCAACATAATTTCCAAGAGAAAAAAAAAACTGTACAAAAGCAGGTACTGTTGTGATTGTAAGAGAAATGTGAGGTTTTCTGATCCATGTGAAAAGATTCAACCCCCCCAAGCATTTGCGGCCTCATTAACTGAAAGATACATACAACACACCCTTTTAGTTAAAGAATGGGCAATTTACACAGTAAAGTAAAAGTAGGTAGAATACTGGGTGAAAATGATTACGTAATGATGCAGTTCTTGATTTTAAACACTAAAAGTGAAAATTTGAAAAGTCAAATACATTTATTGGATTTCTTAAAAAAGATTTTAATGCATTTAGGGAAGTCATAAGAATTCCATAGCAGAAGAAACTAAGGGGGGGGGGGGAGAGCTAAAAATGGGTGAGAGTTCCTAAAGAAGAGGATACAAAAAACTCAAGTACAATAGAAGACCTGGAGAGGGGATAAGAAAGTTTGTATCTAAAGATTTTCCAACTTTGATTTCAATGTATACATAGGATACAAAGTATTTTATAAAACTTGTTTCACAACAGAGCTATAATATCTTTGAAATTTAGGATCCATCACCAAAAACCCTACATATGCAGGACAGGTTAAAATGAGTAATCACTATTTTGAAGAAAAGAGAGAATATTTGGGAGGAAGGACAATTTCTTCTATAATAGATATGACATACAGTATAAATGAAGGGAGACTTTTCAACTTTAGAAAGAATGGGATCTTTGCCCCCAAAGGGAAAGATTGCCGATTCAAGAGAATTAGTCTTTCAATACCAAAATTATAAGACTTTAGAATGTCTGTAACCATCAAATCCAAAAACAATACACGAAAAACTGAATGTTTTATTAAGTCATTGCCTCTTTGTTCTAGTTTGAAGGCAGAATATGAATATTTGACTAAAGATATGTGATTTTACTGCCATCTTGTGGTTTTTAAACACCACTAACATTCAGTTTTAATTAGGTGTACTGTAGCATAATTTATCTTTAAATCTACAAAATACCATACCTTGATTGGAAATTTTCTAAAACAATCACCAGCAATACACAGATTAAATAGCATTTCAGACTGTGAAAACAATTTATGATGATGTTCATATTAGTTAGCTATTTTTAACACTTCTATTTTCTTTCTAAGGTGGAAACTGTATGACAACTGAACAGAGAATGAACATTTCATTTGGGATATGGATTAATGACAAATTTAAGTAATATCTATGAAGTATCTATATTCATCTGGAATTTTATTCCAATTCAAACAATTTATTAATTTCCAATGTGTATAGATTTTGGTATACACAAAATGTATACCAATAGTATTCTAATTAAAATTTTAAAATGGTAAACTGGATAGACATGTCCCAACTAATTGTTTCCATTACAAACAGAAGCAGTATCTAGACTATGATCTTAGTTTAGGATTTATCTACACCCACAACCATACACATTTGTATGGCAGTTTTTCACAGCAGTTTATAATAAAGTAGTTTATAATAAAGTAGTTTTATGTGAGTCCCTTGGACTGCAAGGTGATCAAACCGGTCAGTCCTAAAGGAGATCAACCCTGACTGCTCTTCAGAAGGCCAGATCCTGAAGATGAAACTCAAATATTTTGGCCCCCTAATGAGAAGGAAGGACTCACTGGAGAAGAGCCTAATGCTGGGAACAATTGAGGGCAAAAGAAGAAAGGGATGACAGAGAATGAGGTGGCTGGATGGAGTCGCTGAAGCAGTAGGCGTGAGCTTAAATGGACTCCAGAGGATGGTAGAGGACAGGAAGGCCTGGAGGAACGTTGTCCATGCAGTCACGATGGATCAGACATGACTTCGCAACTAACAACAACAATATCTGAGTCCTAATAGCACCACCAATTCTGAGTGGAGAAATAAATGTGTAAAGTTGAGTGACTGTAGTTGGTTCCCTGAGAGATATTAACAAACAATAAGCACCAGTGGAGTCTACTTGGAACTTTATAAGACATGGACAACACTGAGTGTAGCTGGAGACAAACTGGTTTGTCCAGCAGAAATGCAGAAAATGAGAGAATGAAAAAATAGTAAGATCAAAGGCAGTCAGTGCCATACAATTACTAAGTCTAAAGAACTGCCAAATCCAGCCTGTAAAACAAACACCAAACAATTTAGTGGTTTGAGTTCAAAATGCAGTTGAGGCACAAGTAAAGATAAAGAAAACCAAGTATTTATGGTTGTGGGTTCTGGCTATACAAAATAATTCATGCTGAAATAAATGTTACCTTCAAGAATTCTGTACCTTATGCTGCCTTCTTATAATCTCATCTCATTATTACAGTTATAGGTTAAGGTTAAGGTTAAGGTCCATGGGGTCGCAATGGGTCGGACACGACTTCGCAACTAACAAAGTTTTATATAAAATCGTTGCAATAAAGTCAACAATGCTTAAGAATAAATACAAACACTAAAACAAAATTCTTTTAAAAAATAGCAAACCAAAATAATACATAAACTGAAGTATAGTCTTACACTGGAGTAATTGTTAACCAATACATGTCTACAAGAACAAGTGTTTTCTATGTTCTATTGTTTTCTAGGGGGAGTTAAATGCTTTTCATGAGAGAGTTCCATATGAGTTCTTATTATTAACACCTTACCACTTGATATGACACTGAATCAAACCCATCAGCAGGCGAATAGTTCCCAGTAGAACTTAATGCACAAGTTGGACATATTTAGGGAAGTGATTCTTTTATGCATTTAGTGCTTCACAGACAAATGTCAATATATTAAAATGGGTTCAGAAAGTTACAGTATTATATAGTCAAGTGGCTACCTTATAAACTAGCTTCTTCAAATTGTTGCTGTTAGGTATATAATTTTTGTTAGGTATATAATGTGTATTTTATAGGTACTGAAGCAACAACCTATACTTTCAATTTATACATACTTATAAAACATATATAATTGAATATACCACTTTTAAAATACTATTGGCATTTACGCTGGTATAAAATATGAGCAGGGCAAGAAATAAGTTTAAAAACAGTAATTTTAGCAGAGATAAAATTAAAATTAGAATATTTAGAAATATAGTATCTATTTCTATTCTAGATTTTACTTTTAACTACTACAGTAAGATCTATATTATGGGTATTTGTTCTGCAGTTAAACAAAAGAGAGGCTAATCAAATTATGCTGCATAAACATTTACCTTTATAACGCTGCAGTAATCTGTTTATTCGAATGTCCCAAAACTTCACTGTGTGATCAGAACCAGCAGAAACTATACATGTACCATCAGGATTAAAATCTACGTAGTTTGCAAACCTATAAAGAAAATTAAAAATAATGGTTGTTATTGTAAAGGAATCGGGTCATCTGTTTATTTCAATGAATTCTTAAGGTGTCTTTGCCACACAAGCAGTACATTCTGTTTTCCCAATATTGGGTAAAATAACTCATCCTGAGATATGCCAATATATTTATTTCAGTCTCTCCATCTTGTCTATAAATTAGCAATCAGGTATCTATTCCTTTATATGTTGTCAACTTGTACTTAGATATTTACTAAATGGAAGTAGTAATATAGCTAGAACATGTTCTCAAGCCTAGGTCCTTCTTGAATTACAATTCTTGAATTACAATTCCTATCAGCCTTATTTGGAGAAAAGTTAAGAAAGGATCTCAAGATAGCAATAGCACTTTTAAAGCTTCACAGTGCTTTACAGCCCTCTCTAAGAGGTTTACAGAATCAGCATATTGTCCCCAACAATCTGGGTCCTTATTTTATTGACCTTGGAAGGATGGAAGGCTGAGTCAATCTTGATCCAGTGAGACTCGAACTGCCAAACTGCCGGCAGCCGGCAGTCAGCAGAAGTAGTCTATAGTACTGCATTCTAGCCACTGCGCCACCATGGTTCAAGATATGAGAAGCTGCACGAGAGCCTCCTGAATATTATATGCCAGTGTTGGCAAGCCTTTTCGGCACCAAGTGTGCGGCACCGTGTGCGCATTCCAGAAACTGGAAGAGCAGCTGCCCGGTACGCATGCATGCACTAGGCGGCTGCTCTTCCAGTTTCCGGCGTTCCCATGCACATGAAGACCAGCTAGCCAGCGCACCGGAACCTGGAAGAACAACGAGCGACGGCTCTGCATGCCACTTCCGGCACACGTGCCATAGGTTCGCCATCACAGTTATATGCTATCTTGAACATTAAATGCCAGCAAGGTGTATTTCTGAAAAGTTGCTCATAAAAATTGCTTCTTTTTAAAAATTTAAATCATAGAAAAATAAAATCATAGGGCTGGAAAGGTCTTTGGATGTCTTTTAGTCCAATCTCCTGTCCAAGGTTGCAGTCACTACACCATTCTAGACAAATGGTTGTCCCATTTTTTTTTCTTGAAAACCTGCAGCAACCCTGAGAAGAGACAAGCTGTTCCATTGATTAATGTATTCTCCCTGTTAGGAACGTTCTCCTTAATTTCAGGATGAATCTCCCTCTAATAAGCACCTATCCATTGCTTCTTGTACTGCCCTCAGTGCTTTGGAGAATAAATCAACTTTCTCTTCTCTGTGATGGTGGGCATCCTTCAAGTATTAGAAGACAACTAGCATGTCACCCCAAGCCTTCTCTTTGTTAAGCTAAACATACCTAGTTCCCTTAGCTGTTCATAATAAAATTTGGCCTTCAGATTGTTTATCATCTTTGTTGTTCTTCTCTACACTGTTTCTAGGGTCTCAGCATCTTTTTTATATTGTCATGACCAGAACTGGATGCAGTATTCCAAGTGTGGCCTCACTAGTGCAGTATAGACGGGTACTATCTTTCTGAATCTTGGGTTGATCTTGCAAAGTGTTGGCAATTTCCCCCAACTTGGTGTTATTTGCGAATTTGCAAACTATATTGTGCATGCATATGTATGCTGCAGAACAATTTCAACTCAGGACTGGACATAATGGAGTATCAAATGTTCTATCAGCCATAACCAAGGAAGAAAACCTGAGCCAGTCTGAAAAAGAATATGGCCATTGCATTTTTCGCTGTTTACGCTCAGTTACAATGTACTTCTAATCTCAAGCCACTGTATGGGCAGAAGAGAGGAGGAGGAATGGAGATGGCCTTGTTTTGTCCTGCACTAAATAATCTTTGCTTATGGTTATTAGGGAATACAGTGAATTCAAAGGTAGTTGGGATATTTGATAAACAAGAAGGAATTGCTATTGCATAGTGTTTACAGGAAGTCCTGATCACAAGTTGGAGAAATTGAGTAACAAAGTAGCCTTAAGACTATCAAAATAAAAGGTACCATTAGTTTAGTTTTTGTGAATCACAACAGAATTTTGACATAACCAATCCCAGCTGATATAACTATAATTATCAATAAAATATTTCCCTTTGCTTTTAAATGAATATGACGTACCCATCATAATCTATTATATTATTAATACATATCTTGTTTCTTATATCCCAGATTTTAACAGTTTTATCTTCACTGCAAGACACTATTAATCTTCCATCTGGTGAATATCTAGAAAGGAAAAAAATAAATAAAGGGAGGGGTAAAGATCTACATATTTACAAATAATATTTAAATGATCTGCAGTTATAAAATTTGTGATATTAAAGTATAGAAGCATTCAGGAGTTCACATTCAACTGGTTAATCCAACTACGATTTATGACTATACTGAAAATAGCTAGACGTCATAAATACAAAATACTCATGCTCTAGTCGCCTCCCGTTTAGACTACTGTAATGTACTCTACATGTGGCCACCCTTGAAGAGTATCTAGAAGCTGCAGCTGGTGTAAAATGAATTGGCACACATAATTATGTATGCCCTTAAGACACACTTTGTGCTTTGTGAGTTGCACTGTTTACCAGTCTGCTTCAGGATCCAATTCAAAGTGCTTGTTTTGATTTTTAAAGTCTAGCATATAGCAAGATTATCTGAGGGATTGCCTCTTCCTGATTACATTTCCCTGTCTGATCAAGTCCGGCCGGAGAAGCATGCTACAGATCCCATCTGCGAAAGAGTTTCACCTGACAAGACCTAGGAGGCAAGCCATTTCTCATGCTCTGGAACATCATCCCACCTGAGATTAGGTGAGCTCCAACTCTCATGGCCTTTCAGAAAACCCTTAAAATGTGTTGCTTTTAACAAGTCTGGGGATCCCCTGGTAAAGGAAGTATGCATATTGACTGTATTCTGTGTAATATTCTCATTGTTGTGGTTTTGTTTTTATTGTTTTAATCATTTTTAATTGTTTTTATAATATGTTTTTGATTTTATGTTACCCATACGGATGGCCATATACATCTATGCAAGAAATACATAAATAAATACACTTTTTGCTCACATTAACTGTTTTTATTTTGGGATAACTTCAAATATTCAATATATGACAAGTAAAAGGACATACTTATTTGTGAGTTTGCATCCAACTTTTTTCCCATTTTAGAATTCAGGGCACTGATTACAGGACTCCCAGACAATCTCCCACAGAACCCTTTCTAGGTACAATCCTATTAGCTTCAGCAGGGATGCTGCACCCATATCTTCACTACATATTTTGAGGTCATTGAGAAAAGCAATTATCTTTAGGAAGGTAATGAATTAAAAAACTTACTTTGCACAACGCACCCAGTGTGTATGCTGGGATAAAGAATACAAAAGATTTTGGCTGCAAATGCTCCACACTTTCACTGACTTGTCATTAGATGCAGTGACTAGAAACTGACTGTCATTTGAGAAGTTCACACTGCGGACTGGGGCAGTATGGCCCTTTAATGATGTGGATTCGCCATGGCTATAAAGAAATTAAAAAATATATGTTTTAGCAGAAACTAATCATAAATTTAAAATACAGATTGCATCCTCAATCTATCTAGTTTAAAGTGATGCATTCCCAAATGAAAGAGCTTTATTTCATGTCTGATATGGTATATTTCTGTGAACAATCATAGAAGTCTTTCAGAAATAATGTAATTAATAATATTAGTGTTGTATCTAGTTTATTAAGATGAGAACAAACTTAGGCATCGCCTAACAAAATGCTATTAATAAAAACATACAGGTAGTTGTGAACAAACAACCACAATGGCGCACGGAATTTCAGTTTTAAGTAATTGTTGTTGTAAGTCGAGGCACCACGTGACTGGATTACATTTTATGACCATTTTTACAATGGTTGTAAAATGAGTCAGTGTAGTCACTAAGTAAATCATGTGATTGTTAAGCAAATTCAGCATATCTAATAGGGTTTTCTTTTTGCCATTTTCTGCAAGAGAACAGCAAAAATCATTACAAATCAGTCATGTGACTGCAGGACATTGCAATCACATGGCTGATTGCAATTCCAAAATGAGATAATATGACCATGGGGAAGGGAGAGTATGGCAGCCTTAACTTTGAGATGGGTTGTAAGTAGCTATTTAAAAGTCTTTTGTAACTTTGATCATTAAGTGAAGACTACCTCTATTTCCTCTGTTTTAACAAAGTTTAAAGTAATCATTAAAGCTCCTGGGGAGGAAAGCTATGGCAAATCTAGACAGCATACTAAAAAGCAGAGACATCACCCTGCCAACAAAAGTGTGTATAGTCAAGGCTATGGTTTTCCCAGTTGCAATGTATGGCTGTGAAAGTTGGACCATAAGAATGACCATGAGCGCCAAAGAATTGAGGCCTTTGAACTATGGTGGTGGAGAAGACTCCTGCGAGTCCCTTGGACTGCAAGGCGATCAAACTGGTCAGTCCTAAAGGAGATCAACCCTGACTGCTCTTCAGAAGGCCAGATCCTGAAGATGAAACTCAAATATTTTGGGCCCCTAATGAGAAGGAAGGACTCACTGGAGAAAAGCCTAATGCTGGGAAAGATTGAGGGCAAAAGAAGAAGGACGACAGAGAACAAGGTGGCTGGATGGAGTCACTGAAGCAGTAGGTGTGAGCTTAAATGGACTCCAGAGGATGGTAGAGGACAGGAAGGCCTGGAGGAATGTTGTCCATAGGGTCGCAATGGGTTGGACACACCTTCGCAACTAACAACAACAAAAAGTACTCATTTGTTATTCCAGAGTATACAATTTGTGACCCTCAATAATTTCTTTGCAATTTTTAGAGACTCCTTTCCAAATATTTTGAGGCATGAAAATATATTTTTTAAATGTGCATTGCAAGCATTGACTATATTGAAAAAATGGCCTCAAAATTTCAAAAAATACAAGTCTGGGCCATGGGAATTTTATCATCTTATCTGCTAAGATCCTGATCCCACAAACATTAAACAAGCTCCCCTGCACTAAAGCCTCATAAATTCTGACTTATGGGGTTAACAGAGGATATTTTATCACTTCTTGATCCAGAAATTTACATAAAATAGACAGCTAGGGAAGATATTTTCCAGAATAACTTTTATGAGTTTCTTCTTTAAATTAACTTTTAGCTGATTTAGCTTTCTCCTACTAGAGAAAGTAACAAATTGTTACTAAGCCACTTTTATGTAAAATAAGTATAACTGAAAGAAATAAATGGAACCAATGCTACTTACATGCAAGGAATCCATAGTCTGGCAGTTCGGTCTTCAGAAGCAGATGCCAACAGGTATCCATCTGGTGAAAACTGTACACTAGTTACAGCTTCTAAATGACCCACAAATCTGAAGGCTTTTGTATTTGGCCTCAAATTCCATATCATGAGAAACCTGTCCAGAGAAGAGGTGGCTGCAAAGAAGGAATTTTAAAGCTATAAAACAAAAAGTGAACTGATGTAGAAATATGACATATCAGTACATCAATTGTTATTTTTCCACTTAGTTTACCTATTTCCAAACTGAGAACTGATTGTCTTCCCTGAAACTACTAGATTTCTAAATGATCTTGCCCAGAAACATCCCACATTATTTATAGGGCATAAAGTCCTTCCGTTATTTATAATGCTTTTGATTTTGTTATTATTTTTAGTATACACAATATATTTAGTTATTAGTTATAAGGCCTCACAAACGGCCAGCAGCTGTCTCTGCTGGGGACACCTTATTGGTACCAGGGGTAAGAAGATAGCAAAAGTGACTGGGGCCATCAGGGGAGTTGCAGGGGTAGGCTGTGAGTGCAGAATGGCCAAAAGGTCAGAGATGGGGGAAATAATTAAGAATGGGGAGTGGAGGCATGTGTAGCAGAGAAGCATGAGGTCTTTGCTTAATGGGCAACTGGGTTTAGGACATGTAGACATGGACGCTTGGCCACGCCTCCTTCACCCTCAGCCACCTGCCTCAGCCCATTTACAGCCAGCTTTCCTCCTCTGCTGGTCTTCCCCAGGCCATTTTCCATGACCATTGGGCCCCTGGCCCTTCGTCTCTTCCCATTCATTCAAACACCATTTGACTTGGGCCTGTGCAACCCCTCCAGCCCCCTGCAATGCCAGAAGCAGCGCCAGCCTTGCTGTTCGCCTGTGTGACCTCCAAGCCCCCCCCTCCGCAATGCCAGATGCCATGCTGGCTTTGCTCCTTCTCCTGTTTTTCGTTGGAGCTGAGTTGCGAGCCAAGCTGTCTTTGTGAAGCCCCCTTGAGGACTCCTTTCCTGTTCCTCCCAATACAGTCTCACCTGTCTGCCTCCCCACCACCCAGTGGCTGCTACTTGCACCATCCTGCCCTCTGGTCCTGGTGATCTTGCAGAGCAGCTGCAGTATTTTTTTTTTTTAATCTTGCATTGCACGCTGCCCTCACAGCACCATTGCTTCTGCCTGCCACCCGATTGGCTGGGGGCTATTTGTACCATGCAGCCAAAGGCCCGAGTCAAATGGTGTTTGAGTGAATGGGCAGGGGTGAAGGGCCAGGCCCCATTGGCCATGGAGGGTCAGTGGAGGAGGCAAGCTGGCTGTAAATGGGCTGAGGCAAGTGGCTGGGGCGAAGGAGGCGCAGCCAGGGCCCATTCCTAAATGTCCCATTCCGCTGCAACTAGGACTACTGTAACTGCCATTGCTAAGCATTGTGGTCACATGATATTTTGCCTAATGACCATTCGCTTAGTAATGGAATCCCTGGTCCCAATCAGCATCGTTAAACAAGGACTACCTGTAATATTATTTATAATTGAAAAGAAATAGAAGTAGTTGTGAAAAAAGAAATAGTGTAATCAATGTCTGTGTGTCTATCATTTGGCAAATACCAAATGATTAAAATCTGGGCGTCCGAACTTAGGATACTACGAGAAAAACTTTAGGAAGTATTATTATATCCTAATAACTATCCTAATATAATTATATCCTAGTAAATAGAAAAAGGGAAATCATGAGTTCTTGTCCGGTCTTAGGCACAAAGCCAGCTGGATGATCTTGGGCCCGTTACTCTCTTTTAGTCCTAGGAAGGAGGTAATGGCAAAACACCTCTAAAAACCCAGAAAATAGCAGACTTGTCCAAGCACTCTCTGAGAATCAGACATGAATGAATGTTTAAAGGAAAACAACATTTACTACTTGTGGAAAACGTATACATCTGTCCAAGGCAAGACCTACCTCTTATATCCTTTTAATTGATTCTATTGACAACTATACCATTACAGGGCAAGGTTCTACCTATACATTTCCATAACTGTTTTCATTCTAGAAGATATTCTGCTGTTAAGCAACATTAATATAGTTTCAATAGGTTTATTCTAGAACCTATTTAAATTAAGCCTACCTTCAATACCAAAGAGCTGGATACTACTTACAGATTAGAATAATAATCTGTGGCAGCATAAGTCTTACCTTGGAGTTATAATTGTCCTAAAGTATGGCGTTCAGCAAGTAGCCTAGTTACATTTGTTTTTAATCTGTAGGGAGAACACTATGAGATCACACAATTAACATTTTCAGATATGCCTCAGGTGGACTTACCAAGCACTTTAGTATTTGGACTGAAAGCAACACAAGTGACTGCATCTTTGTGGCCTTTAAAATGACGAATCAAAACAGGATCTTCCTATAGTAGAGAAATATGTACAAATATGTATATTTATTTGTATAATGTTTAATTCTAAGGTGGATTTTTATATTTTTACATTTGCTGTTTTTATATTTTATTCAACTGTTGTATGCTATCCAGACTTTTTGTCAAATGGGCAGTTCAACAAATTTGATAAAGAACTATTATTTAAATACTAATTTGATACAATAATATGTTGCCACAGAGTAGTACATGAAGATGCTACAATTCATTTTTTTTTGTTTTTTTTATATACCACTTAATGAGATCAATAGAATCCAGATGAATAATTAGCATCTTTTGTTTTTATTCACTGTAAAAACCCATGCAAAAAAATGCCCCAGAAAAGCAGGACCTTGGATGCTGGCCAAATACCTAGCATCTCTCACTTTCCCAAGATTGGGGAAGGATTTCTTTCAGATATATCATACTGTATTATTATTAATGCTCCCACTGATGAGAGAAGATATATTGAACTCCCTCGGTATGAAGGTGATTGCCCTTGCTATTTGATGGCATTTGAAACATATGCTTGTGTATTACTATATTTTATTTTCCACAGCTCCTCAAGTCTTCATTGTGTGCTGGGAGTGTATGTGAAGAGTTATAATTCCCAGCAGAGTCACCTAAGGGACGAAGGTCATTCAGCTGCTGAACTAAAGCAAGCAGGCACTTATACTGGACAGCAGCAAAATAGGAATACATTGGAGACAGATGATCACTGTAGTGACAACTGCAAAAGCATCAATTCATACAGTGCAGAACAAGGTAATGGTAAACCACTCCTTTATTTTATCTAGAATAGAAATGAATATGAATAAAAATATAGGAATAGAAAATAAAATGATTAATAATATAGAGCAGGATAATGGATCTCTCAGCCTAGAGGGCACTCAGCAGTCCTTGCTAAGGGATAGCTGATCTTTTGGAGTATAGGTAGTCCTCGACTTATGATCACAATTGAGTCAAAAATTTTGCTAAATGAGGTATTTGTTAAATGAGTTTTATCCCATTTTATAACCTTTCTTGCTATCATTGTTAAGTGAATCACCAAGTTAGTAACATGGTTGTTAAGTGAATCTGGCTTCCCCATTGACTTTGCTTGTCAGAAGGTTGCAAAAGATAATCACATGAAAATTCAGGGCACTGAATTTTGATCACACGACCATTGGGATGCTGCAACTATTGTAAGTGTGAAAACAGTCATAAATCTGTTGTAGTTTCAAACTGTCATTGAATTAACTATTGTAAATCGAGACTACCTGTACTAATAGTGTCAAAAATATGGTTAAATTAAAGACTTTTAGACATCCTTCTAGTTGTTGATGTTATCATACAGGAAAAAATAATCCAAAATTGCAAAGACAGAACTATAGTTAGTAAGTGAATGGAAGTAAGGAGCATGAAAAGAGTAAAGCTCAACATAGTGGAAGTTGAAATGAAACAACTACAAATTAACATTTTAGGCATCGGCAAATTGAGAGGGGCTGCAATTGAACACTTTTAATCAGAAGGTAACATTGTTTACTAATCAGGTTATTATAAAAAAGATGGAAATGCATTTTTATCTTTGGGAAGGATATTGGCTACAATGCAATCAATAATCAAATATTTATCAATTAAATATCAAAACAACATTTCTATGCTGCACTGTCTGGAGAGACAAAAAGAAGTGAACTTCACCATCTGCATTAATGGGAATATAAAATATGGCTTCTATTTAAAGGAAGAGCAGCTACTATTTTTTTTCCTTCTTCATCAGATGATATAGGAAACTGGATTGTGTAAACATAACCCTAATATCACACAGCCAAGTAAGACAGATGAGTGAGGTAAGAGAGTGGTATGCAATTTTTAATGACCAACCCTACACATGGAACTGCCAAGAAAGAAAAAGAAACAAGCAGAGGCATTTGTTACCAAGCCATCTCATGATTCCTTTTGTTGTGGTAGCTAAGGCAGTTGAGCAGGAAGATAAAGTTGCAGCTGTTGATTTCTTTTGATTGCAAGTGGCGGGAGCAAAAAAAAAAAAACCTAGGAATTTTCAAAAGATCCTGTTCTCTGCAGTTGCTTTTCCTCTATTGCACAGCAAAAATAAAATTTAACACCCCCCCCAAAAAAAATCTGCAAAATTTTATGGTCGCAGCTATACAAGCTTTCCTAACAATCATGTTAATAGGATTTGGCACTGTTTTTCCCATTATTTCTTTTTAATCTCTGCAGTTTCCCATTCAAATATCCAAACTTGACATCCTTTGAAATCCCTGGTGCTTTCCAAGCTTGTCTGTTTGCTTGCAGATATTTCATTACCCGACTTCAAGCAGGGTCAGAGAACACCAAGGATTCCATGGTTCAAGCAGAAACTACATATATTCTCTTTTATTGAACATCCTTTAGCTTCCCAGCCCATAGACTGGCAACCAAAAGGAAGATAAAACAGCCTACAGGTCCTGGTTTGATCGCTTCTCCAAACCAAGCAGCTTTTTTTCCCTTCACAACAATAGCTATCCCAAAAAACAAAAACAAAAAACCAACCACCACCCTTTAGTCCAGGGGTCCCCAAACTTGGCAGCTTTAAGACTTGTGGACTTCAACTCCCAACACCTGCGAAAGCACAGCCGTCAATTACCAGCCGTCGGCTCGGCCACACACGTGAGCAAACAGCAAAAGCGAAAGGGAGCAGTAACAGAGTTGGAAGGGACCTATGGAGGCCATCTAGTCCAACCCCCTGCTCACGCAGGAGACGTGTACTAGGGATTCGAACCGCCGGCCTTTCTGATCGACAAGCTCAGTGTCTTAGCCACTGAGCCACCTAGAAACAATCGGCCCTTCCCGCCGTTTGCGAAGCGAGCAGCGTCCCCGCTCCAATGACCGGCCCTACCAGAGCGGACGCCATCGGGACCCCAGACGAAGAAGGAGGGGCCTTTCTTTCCTGCGCCGCTTTCCAAAGGCCGTCAAATCGCCCGCGGTCTAGGCCGGATCAGTTGAGCCCCGATTTTGCCGCCTGCGTTGGAGGCGGCGAGAACGCCTTGGAAAGGAGAAGAGTCCTTGGCCGCCTCTCCTCGGAGTAGGAAAACGAGGCAGGGAGAAAAAAGGGGTTGCGCCTGTTTCAAAGCCGAGCTCGGACATCCACGCCATCGGTACTCGACACTCCTCAGTACGGCCTTTCCGGAGTTAGGCCTGTTTGGAGTTAGGCCTGTCGCTTAGAGACAAGCGCGCGCGTGTCCAGCAGAACTCGCCAGTGATTGGTGGAAGAGCGGGCCGCTTTCCGCCCAGAAAGGAGGGGCTGCGCTAAGAAAATTGAACTCTTCGCTTTGAGAAATAGTTTTTCTCTTGAAACGGAGCGGGAGGGATATTTGTTATATCCAGTAGCCGCTTTTTTTTTTTTTTCTTCAAATGGAGCATCTTGAAGCTATCATCCTAATGATTCCAAGGACAGCCCATGTTGTTACTGTGAATTGTGGTTTGTCCCTGTCCTCTTCCACAATGCCTTTTCGACTTTCCAGGCTAATCTAGGATTGTCTCCAGTCCAAGTCCTAAGGGAGGCAAGTGCTGTTTAGGAATATCACTGCTGGATTTCTTCATGCTGAGAAAGGGCTTAATTTCTCTCAACCTGTTCCAGAGCCTACAACTCATAGAATGAGAACTATAGCAAACACAATTTATGTACAGGTGCTTCCTCGGTGATGAGGGTTCTTGGTGCTCTCTGAGCTTGGTTGCTTACTTGCAGACATTTCATTAACCAAGCTAGGTAACATCAGTGCTAGTATTGTTTACTGTTAGCTTGTTTGGCAGTTCTCTTCCGACCAACAATCGACACCCAGATGAGCATAGATTAACAGACCAATAGTTACCAAGAAGTAAACAATACCCCATCAAACTGCCCAACCAAAGAACCTCCAAGAACACAGGGCAAGCCACTAGAATAAAATAAAGAGTAAACTCCACTCCTTACTAGCATTGATGATCTACTTCATATCATTTACAGAAAAACCTATCATAAAGCCTGCAAATTACAGTTCAAAAAGTACCTTGGGGAAATAATTGAATTTTTCTCTTCTTAAACCTTGATTTCAGGATATCTTGAAAAGGTACCACCTAAACAGGCTGGTTAGATTGTATAACTTGAAAGCAAGAAATAAGGTACTGGATAAATAAGGTCAACTATGATACTTTGACATAGTGAAAGATGCACTTACTGGTTGGTTGATGCACGTGCAATATTTGTGTGAGCAAAGCAGGACACCCTACAATTTATATTGTAAAATTCTTAAGACAGAAATTGTGAAGAGACAACTTGGCTGGAAAATATCAGTTGTTGAGCTTTAAATAAATAAATTATTCTGATATAAAGTAGTAACAACATGGATGAAAAGTTATTAACATTCTACTATGTTAGTAGAAGCATTAAAATTTTAGAGAGAAAAGTGTAGTTTTTCAGATTATGAAAATTAAAGCTTGATGCAATCATGACAGAATCACCCTTTTAGCTAAGACATTGCACACATCAATTGTTTGACTTCTGAGGAAAGAGTTATTGGACTACTGTTGCAATAGTTAAGCTTAGTGAAGTCTAAAGGGTACCATGTTGCATTGACTTAATTGAAGGGGTGTTTAAAACATTTCTATAGCCGCGCATATTAACTCTGGGAGACTCCCAACGAACAGCTAAAGCTTCAGTAAATAAAGCATAAATTAGGAGTGGGTTGCTGGGGTTTTCGGAGAACCTCTAGCTAAGATTCTGTGCAGTTCGTAGAACCCCCAAATCCCATTCCTGGCTGGCCACTCCCACCCCAGCCCATCCCTCCCAGGAGTCCCAATGCAGCCCATTTTGGATGCAGGTAAGTGCAGGGTGCGCACAGAGGCTCAGGGAGGGCAAAAAACGGGCCTGCCAGAAGTTTGGGAAGGCAGGAAACAGGCCTGTTTCTGGCCTCCAGAGGGCCTCCGGAGCCTGGGGAGGCCATTTTTTTTATTTATTCATTCATTCATTCATTCAATTTGTATCCCGCCCTTCTCCTAGTGGACTCAGGGCGGTGTGCAGCCAGAACCAAAACACATACCAATACAAAATTTAAAATTGTTAAAAAAATTATATGACTTTGGCCCAAAATTTAAAACATTCAAACTAAAACCCATTGAGGCTTGAAGAGCCCGGGGAGGGCAAAAACGCACCCCCCCCCCCCGTGGTGTAGGAGGCAGACACGGCCACGCCCATCCAGCAACCGGGCAGACAACCCCTTGCTAAAATTTTTGAAGCCCACCCCTGGCATAAATACATTAAAGGTATAAAACCATACCAGGGGTGGGTTGTAATTTTTTTTACTATCGGTTCTGTGGGCATGGCTTATTTTGTGGGCGTGGCTTGATGGTCATGTGACAATTCTTTAGGATTTAGCAGAGGTACTGGTCTACCAGGCTTTTAACTGTTTGCAGAGCTGTACCAGTCTACCCATTTATTTTTGCAGGCACCGGTCTACTCATTTGTTTTCTTTTAACACAGTTCAGCTGTAGGGCGGCCCTTTGAAGCCCCGCAGCAAGAGTTTAAACAGTTTTTTTTCCCTCTAGCCGATCAGCTGGGACTCAGGAGGCAGCAATAGATTGGGGGTGGGGCCAAATAAAAGGTAAGAATAATGCAGAGGGGTCGGGGGGGGCAGAACCAGTTCGGTGATGTCATATCCTCACCGCTACTGGCTCGGCGGAACCGGTAGGAACCCACCACTGAATCATACGTATTAAATGAACTGCTCAACTTTATCTGCAGCAAATTAAAGTGTTCAAGCTCAAATGGGTAGGAACTAAAAGCAACATAATATAGCATAGTACACTGGAGAGTCTCATACAATATTTTCCAAATCACAATACTAAGCTAGTCCTTTATCTTACATTTGTTAAATAAATGCAGTTGAACAATGAAACATTTCTATCCTGTAGACACAAGCTTTTATTTCCTCTTCCATTATCACCCTATTTTATAATAGTGCCCAAATGATTTTGTCATACTTTTGTGTGAATAAATATAGCAATAACATCAACAGTAAACAGGCCAGAAAGTTACAAAATAAAAAAAAAACATGTTTTTACATAAAGTCTTTAACAGTAGTTAACAGTATTTAACAGTATCATAATGAATCATGGGAATAATTGAACCTGGAGAATTATTTATGGATCTGTTCCAGTGTCCATGGAGATTGAATATTTTTCATACACATTGTATTTAAACTTCACTGTAATATTCTTTAATTTCACATCCTAAAAACAATTGCATTTGTTGGAGCACTCACTACCTTCAATGAGTCCAATGGCAAAAATGAGATGAGCTGCAAGTAGGATCACCATCAATGGCAAGATCAAATAGGGAGTAGTCAAGCCAAGAGTAATTCACAATGGAATGAGAGCAGTTGGGCTCTAGAGATGAAGGAACCTAATCCACTAGGAAAAAGAACTTTGAAATCAAACCTGAATGAAGACAAACTATTTCTGATATACTTAGTTCGGAGGTCACTTGTCATAGACAGTAATAAAGTTTCACAATCTGAATGCAAACAGGAAATTTGTTCACATGTTGACTTGGTATTGAAAGATGAGGCCTTGTTTTCTCATGGACATATACAGTAACAAGGGTGCAGACTATAAGAATGAATCAAAACTTGAAATTATCAAAGCAGAAATGACGAGTATTTATTTATTATTATTTATTTATTATCGGATTTATATGCTGCCCTTTCTTCACAAGGACTCAGGGCGGCTCACAGCAATAAAGCAACAAGAAGTCCAGATTAAAATTCAAACGATAATTCCCATTAAAACCCCTTCAGTCCAGGTCAGCCTTAAAACCATGTTTTAAGGTCACGGCAGAAGGAGCGAAGGTCGGGGGCCACCTGGACCTCCAAGGGGAGCTGATTCCAGAGGGTAGGTGCGCCTACAGAGAAGGCTCGCTCTCCCCATCGCACCGGGCAATGGGGAGCTGTTGCTGGCCGCAGGTGATCCTCCAGATAACCCGGGCCTAAGCCATGTAGGGCTTTATAGGTAATCACCAACACCTTGAACCTCACCCGGAGAGCAACTGGTAGCCATTGCAGGTCACGCAGGAGAGGTGTGACATGGGAGCGTCGGGACACTCCCATCACTACCCGCACAGCCGCATTCTGCACCAGCTGAAGCCTCCGAGTGGTTTTCAAGGGCAGCCCCATGTAGAGAGCGTTGCAATAGTCGATCCGGGAGGTGACTAGTGCATGGGTGACCGTGCGTAAGGCGTCTCAGTCCAGATATCCAATTATATTGGATATTATAGGATTTTTGTTTTTATTTTATGACTGTAAGAGTAAGATCAAGAAAAAACAAAGAGAAACAACAGGAGCTTAATTTATGTTTGTTATGTTTATGTTTTATTTCATGGCTGTGCACCGCCCTGAGTCCTTCGGGAGTAGGGCGGTATAGAAATTCAATAAATAAATAAATAAATAAATAAATAAATATATAATTTTGACCACACAAGATAGTATTGATCTATCTTTTCATAATTCAGATAGTGAACACAAAATGAAGACATAATGGTGATCTAGGGTTGTGCTGTAACTATCTTTCCAACACTGCACATTTTTCACCATATTTTCCAAATCTATAATTCTTTATATAAGAATAAGTACTCTTGCTGGCAGTATTTATAATGACAGCATCTGTTGATATCTTAATTTGGAGCATTTTCAGTTTCAGAGAAATCTATATTATTAGAACTGATGGTTAAAACACACAAAGCACACACTCCACACACAATATTTATAAATACTTGTTAATGATAAATCAATGTAATTGATAAAATCAATTTAATAAGCACATTTTAAAGAATGAACAGAACAAAGAATTGGCAATCCCCACTTCGTCTAAACAGCAGGAACTGTCATGTCTGTATCAAAAACATCACTAGATCTTAGATTATGGATTAGTCAACAAAAATAGTACAGTATTTTGGATTGATTTGCATTGATATATCAAAGGCATGAGTAAATTACTGTGTTGTTGTAGTTGCAATGTAAGTAATTCTTCATAAATTGTTAGGAAACTGGTTTGCGGTATCCTAAAATCATATTCTGGGAAAAGTCATTGTAAACATTAATTTGATTTTGATAGGATTTAATATTTTTAGATGTCCATATTCTGTTGAATTACATACCTAGTACATGGAAATTTAGGACTGGACAATGAAAATTGATTCCTGCACCCTTCTTATT